AGGAGTTTGAAACCAACCTGGGCAATATAGTGAGACCCTATCTCTACCAAAAAAAACTTTAAAAATTACCTGAGCATGGTGGCCTGTGCCTGTAGTCCCAACTACTTGGTAGGCTGAGGTGAGAGGATCACTTGAGCCCAGGAGGTCGAGGCTACAGTGAGCCATGATTGCACCACTGTACTCCAGCATAAGTAACAGAGTGAGACTCTGTCTCAAAAAAACAAACAAAAACTAAAAACAAAAACAACCCACAAAACGATTCTATAAAATAGAGAAAATATGACACTTCATGGAGTTTTTGTGAAGATTAAATCAGGGGTTAGCAAAATAACTACCCGAGGGCCAGAATCTGCTATGGTCTGTTTTTATAGGTCCACCAGATAAGAATGGTTTTCATATTTTCAAAGGGTTGTAACAAAAACAAAAACTAAATTAAACTTAAAAACAACGCAAAGAGTAATATGCAACAGACTAATATGCAACAGTCATCTGCTAAGCCTAAAATATTTATTATCTGGTTCTTAACAGAAAAAGTTTGCAGACCTCTGGATTAAAGGAAGAAAGAAACTTGAAAATAATTGGCACACTGAGCTTAACACACAGGAAACACTTAGAAAAGGTGGAATTTCAGGCCAGGCGCAGTGGCTCATGCCTGTAATCCTAGCACTTCAGGAGGCCGAGGCAGGCGGATTGCCTGAGTTCAGGAGTTCAAGACCAGCCTAGGCAACACAGTGAAACCCGTCTCTACTAAAATACAATAAATTAGCTGGGCGTGGCAGCAGGTGCCTGTAGTTCCAGCTACTCGGGAGACTGAAGCAGGAGAATTGCTTGAACCTGGGAGGCAGAGGTTGCAGTGAGCCGAGATCGCGCCACTGCACTCCAGCCTGGGTGACAGAGCAAGACTCCGTCTCAAAAAAGAAAGAAAAGAAGGGGAGGGGAGGGGAGGGGAGAGGAGATGGTGGAATTTCACTCTAAAAAAAAATTTTTCTGGGAGTGATTTAGTTAGAAAAGGATAAATGGAAATTTGGCACATGGGGCAAAACATATGAGATTCCTAGAAGATGTAAATTTTACTATCTGATCTTTTCCCCATGTTAGTCGGCTTAGGCTGCTGTAATGAAATACCTGACTGGGATCTAAGCAACAGACATTTGTTTCCTCCCAGTTCTGGAGGATGGAAGTCTGAGATCGAGGTGTTGGCAGGGCTGGTTCGTCTTGAGGCTTCACTCCTGAGGCTGCCTTCTCTCTGTGTCCTTACCTGGTCTTTCCTCTGTCTGGTGTCCCATCGTGCTTCCATATCTCACATTTTCATTTTGTTTGTTTGATTTTTTATTTTTATTTTTATTTTTATTTTTTTGAGATGGAGTCTCGCACTGTCGCCCAGGCTGGAGTGCAGCAGCGCAATCTAGGCTCACTTCAACCTCCGCCTCCGTGCTTCAAGAAACTCTCCTTTCTCAGACTCTCAAGTAGCTGGGATTACAGGCGCCTGCCACCATGCCCAGCTAATTTTTTGTATTTTAGTAGAGATGGGGTTCCACTATGTTGGCCAGGCTGGTCTCAAACTCCTGACTTCGTGATCCGCCACCTCGGCCTCTCAAAGTGCTGGGATTACAGGTGTGAGCCACCGTGCCCGGCCCAGGTCTCACATTTTTATTAGGGCACTTGTCAGATTGGATTAGGTTCCTCCCTAAAGGCCTCATTTTAACTTACCTCTTTAAATGCCCTATCTCCAACTAGTCACATTCTGAGGTACTGGGGTTGAGGGTTTCAACATATGAATTTGTGGAGGAAAGAATTCAGCCCAAAACACTCTCCGTAAACATTAACATTTACCAATGCTAATTCTTTAAAAAAGTAACTTTTTACTAAGAGGTGGTATAATTGTGTGACAATGGGAAAAGGCTAGTCCAGTTTTAGGGTACCTTTAAATGGCGGGCATCTCAGCTGGGCGCAGTGGCTCACGCCTGTAATCCTGGAATTTTGGGAGGCCAAGGTGGGAGTATCACTTGAGGTCAGGAGTTCGAGACCAGCCTGGCTAACACGGTGAAACCCCCATCTCTACTAAAAATACAAACATTAGCTGGGCACGGTGGCATGTGCCTGTAGTCTCAGCTACTCAGGAGGCTGAGGCACGAGAATCGCTTGAACCCAGGAGGTTTTAGGCTGCAGTGAACTGAGATTATGCCACTACATTCCAGCCTGGGTGACAGAGGGAGACCCCATCTCAAAACAAAAGCAAAAACAAAAACAAAAACAAAGAACAAATAAATGGCAGGTAGCTGTACCTTCCCTAAGGTGGGAGAAACATTAGCTGCACCATAAGTAGCCCTATGCTCCCATATTTCCCAGCCTCTTGCTGATAGACAAGGCAGTATGACCAGTTCCAGCCAATGGGCTGTGGGAGAAGTGAGGAGCCCCCTCACAGAGCGTTTAAGGGCCAGTGGCAATCTCTAGAGCTGTGCCTTCCTGTGCCAGAGCAGACAAAGACGTTTCATTTTGAGTGGACAGAGCCACAAGCTGGATGTAGTCTGGATCCCTGAGTCACCATATGGAAGACAGCCGTTTTGAACTCCGCCCAGCCTCATAAAAATATTGTAAGAAATAAACCTTTATCGGGCAAGTCACAGAGATTTGGAATTTAATTTGTGATCATAGCAAAGCCTAATCTGTCTAGCACACTGGTTGCCAGAGGAGGTGAGCACTGAACACTGATGAAGGAGTCAGGGAAAGGCATTCTTATCTCAGATCTGCCAAGAACTTCACTGCCCTACTTTCGGCAAGAAGACTTGTTCCCAATATAGGCTTGCAATTTGCCCTTTCCAGCTGGCTATGGTAACAAGACTAGAAAGAACACATTTAAAACAAAATTATAGAGTTTAAATGTAAACCAAAGCCTTTGCTTTCAAAATAGCTAATGGCCCATCTTCCAAGTAGGAAATACAAACAGTTGAGGCCCTAAAGTCAGACCCGTTTATTTTTTTCACCTGTAAATGATACAGCTTCCTGGCATTCTCCTCTCTTCCATGTGCCATCTTTAAGTTTGAAACCACTCAACTCCAACTGATCCTCGAGTTTGCTCCACATAAAGCTATTCTATCCTTCCAGAATTGGTTGCCCCAAATGCCTCATTATTGGAACACCACCAGCTCAGATGTGGATACTTGTGGAGGGGACTGCAAATTCTGAAATGTTCCTCACCTTCTCTTCCAAAGCCTCCTCAGCTTTCTCCCCCGACCCCAGTCCCTTAGTGCCCACAGACATCAACTCCTAGAGATAACTATGTGTCACAAAATCATGTCCACAGAGAAGAAGTACAAACATACATCCCATTTGTCTTTGCAACCAGATGTCTGGAAAGCTCCCTTGACAGAAAAGCTGCCACAAATAATATACTCATTTACTACTCAGGAAATACACTCCCTTCATTGAAAAGTGATGACATGAAATTGAACCAACTCCCAGTACCGCTCTGAATTATTCTTACTGTGCCTGTAGCACACAGAAAACCCTACAAAGAAAATAAATACAATAACCATCAGGCTTCCAGGCTCCCCCTAAAAGACAGCAGTTTTGCATTCTTTCTGAATTTGCTTCAATGTATGCTATGGCTCTATAGGAAATGTTTTATTGATTTAATCTAGTAAAATCCAATAGCCTCTTAATGGCTAAAGTAGATAACAAGGCTATCCAGGGGTTTGCTGCTTACTCGGGAAGTCAACTGAGAAAAGACAGAGTTCCCAAAGAAAGCTGTCTTTCTCCAGCTTCAAGAGTGGGTGGGACAAACAGCATAAGGCTCAGGAAGCTGCACAGTTTTGAAAAGGACTTAACAATGCAAGACCTGGTCCCTGCAGGAACTTCAAAAATACCTGTTGCAATGACAGCTTGATCTGTTGTTGACATCCCCCCTGACCATGGCAGCCACTCTCTGATTTCTCTGTGTTCTTTGAGGAAGAAACTCTGCTCCAGACCAGCTCTAACGGCAGCTCATTTGGGGACTCTGGGGTCTCAGGTCCTTTTCTATTCTAAAGTGTTGTGATTCTTACAAGAAAACACTGTCATCAAAACCAGATACTTGTTATTTTCCCCCAGAATCCAATTACTGAGGGCTTCCTATAGTGAACAGTGAGCTTCTCCACTTTCTAGCTATGTGACCCTCTAAGGCTTCGTCCCTTCACTGTCCAGGGGGAAACAAGGGTTAAAGCAAGGTGGTATATATGAAAAACGTCTTGTGAACAGTTATGAAGGAAGCAGTAACTGGGAAAATTTCAAGAGGTCAGCTAGATCCCACCCTCCCATTCCATCCCATCATCCCTCTTCCCCTATCCATGACCAAGGCCTCCTACAAGGACAAAATCTAGAAGTCATGTTCAGAACTGTCATTCTTTGTGTGCCATTTTCAGAGTCTCCAAGGAAGATCCTAATCTCCCCAAATGAAAAAGGTCGATTCTTCTTGAACCGCCACCTGCAGTATGTATGTCAGAAAGACTTTTGTAGGCACACCTGTTGCAGGTAAAATAAGGCAGGGATACTGGCCTAGAAAATGCCCCCAATGCAATTCCTGCTTGTTTCCAGTCAGATGCTAGGTCAAGAGCTTTACATAAGGCTGGGTGCAGTGGCTCACACCTGTAATCTCAGCACTTTGGGAGGCCAAGGTGGGCAGATCACTGGAGCCCAGGAGTTTGAGATCAGCCTGAGCAACACGGCAAAACCCCATTTCTACAAAATACAAAAAAAAAATTAGCTAGGCACTGTGGTGCACAACTGTAGTCCCAGCTACTTGGGAGACTGCGATGGGAGGATCGCTTGAATCTGGAGAGGTTGAGGCTGCAGTGAACTGTGATTGTGCCACTGCACTCCAGCCTGGGTGACAGAGCAAGACCCTGTCTCAAAAAAAAAAAAAAAAAAAGAACTTCACAGAAAAGATGGTACCTGTACTATTATTTGCAATTTGCAATGTACTTAGCTGTTTTAAGATTTATCAGCAAATAAAGAAGCACTCATAGTGAGGGAAAAGTGTATTTCACAGTCATTACAAAAGTACATATAGCTAATAATGGTGACATAAATATAGTCCTTGCTTATGACCAAATCGTACAATTAAAATGGACTTTTCCTCCTGGACTTCACACAATGACAGTCCAGTCAATTTCTGTCAGTAACTACAGGGTGACTGGAATCACAGGCACAGACTGAGGAAGACAGTCACGGTCAAACAGACAACATGTTTCGGACTTACCAAAGGGAGAGCCAAGCTTTCCATATAAATATAATAAAATAATAAAGACTCTAACATTTCTCCTTTCACTCGGTTTCATAGATTTGTCGGGTGCCCATACACGCACAAAAATACAGTTGATCCCCTTTCCTCACTCCCCCTCACCTCTCACTGGGTTTAGAATAAACCTGAGTTCAGAGTCCAGGTCACCAACGGCAACGCGGTCAGTTAGCGGCACATCTGCAGCCGTGCTTGAAGCATGCCAGGAATGAGAAGCATGTTCTCCACGAGCTCATGGCAAGGCGGAAGCGCTCCTGTTCTCAAGGAAAAGGCATCAGGGGCTCCAGAAAGTTCCCAATGCACAGGTATACACCCTGTGAGCCTGCCAATTGGAGCCGTGGCAGCTGGAAACCATCTTTAGAAAAGGTACACTTCATGTCAAATGGAGAGATGGTCTTAGATGATTCTTTTCTTCTCTCTGCTTATAAAACTCTATTTTCTTTTTTTCTGGAGACAGGGTCTCACTTTGCCACCCAGGCTGGAGTGCAGTAGCATGATCTTGGCTCACTGCAGCCTCGATCTCCTAGGTTCAAGTGATCCTCCCACCTCAGCCCCGCAAGTAGCGGGGACTACTGGCACCTGCCACCACACCCAGCTATTTTTTTTTTTGTATTTTTTGGTAGAGAAGGGCTTTCACCATGTTGCCCAGGCTGCTCTCGAACTCCTGGGCTCAAGCGATCTACCCGTCTCGGCCTCCCAAAGTGCTGGGATTACAGGCATGAGCCACCACGCCTGGCCTAAAAGCTCTGTTTTCAATGGTAAGTTCTGGAACCCAGTCTGAAGCTATACAAAAAATAACACCAATCGCCAAGGGGTCTGACCTCATCCTAGAATGCCCTCGAGCTGGGGTGATCCCCTAGGGAGAAAGGAGGCAGCTCCAGGTCTCACCAAGGTCGGCCAAATATCCATTCTCTCCTGCTCTGTCAGAGACGTGAGGGACTAAGGGATGTCACCACTAGTGAATAAGAGAGTGATTCAGAACTACCTCTCTGCCCTCTGGCAAGGCTGCCTGCCAGGAAAATAAAGGCTGGCTTTGCAATTCTAGATTTGTGTTTTGGGATCCATGGACTGAGATGACTATCCGAGGTGGCCACAGAGGCGGTCTCTGGTCACACCTGCACTGGTCAAAATTTGAAGACTCCAGGCCATTCTGTAACCAGTCTCCTACACTAACCCCTATCCCACCTGTGCTGATAAGTCTTCTTTTTCTGATTCTTCTCACCAATGAGTGCACCCTGCCAAGTGCCAGCTGGATACAGTCAGACAACAACAGGGGTCCACAAAACACACACACGGGGGGCACAGACACAATACTGGAGACGCATCTTTGGTTCGATCCTTGGAGAAAGGTGTGAAAACACAATGTGGACTGAACCCTGTTTGAGGAGCTCGGCTTTCCTCGAAGAAGAAACTGGTCCGTATCTGAACAGGTTCTCTGCCAGGCAAGCCTGCTCCCAGCTCCCAGCAAACTCGCTGAGCTTTGGGCTGCATGAGTTCTGTGGGCCCCTTGAAATCCGCATCACACAGAGGTAACGCTGCCATCTCGCCATCCGAATTATGCTCTGAATTGTCACGATCGTCTTTTCTCTCTTTCTACAGAACCAGCTGTGACCGTGTTCTATGCCTCCCAGAAGGATCAGGGCTATGCCTTAAACAACAGGATGAACACAGGACCACCGAGACGTGCCCTGCCTGTGGGCCACAGCACTCCACACATCACCACAGTCAGCTTTTTTGCTCTCCACACTGACCCCTCCCGTGAAAACACGAGTTTGGTGGAATTGCTTCTCATCTCTCCATCCAAGTTTTAAAAAAGTATGTTATTTCAATTTACCGACATCACATTTTTTAAAAAAAAATCTCTTTGGAAAAGATAATTCAATCATTAGCACGTTTCAACAACAACAACAAAAATCTATCAAAATCTTGCTAGGGAAGTGAGTGTCTCCTTCAGTCTCTCTCTTCTGTCGCGTTCCCCACCATTTGCTTTGATCTTGGTCCGAAGCTCCTCTCCGTCTTCCTCTGAGGATCCTGGGCCTGCCCCGGGCTCCTGCTGGCCTTTGGGGAGTCCCTGCTATGAAAGGCGGGGCTGCCACACTCCGCAGAGGAAACGTGGCCTGGAGGAATGACTGCGATGTTGTTCTCTCCCTGTGACTGTGGCCAACCGCTGTGAGAGGCACACATGTAGCACAGTGTGAAGAAAGATCTGGTAACAGTCCATCATCTGATGGCCCCAGAAGGCTGATGCCCCGTTTTCCCTCCAAGCCTGGGGGAAGTGGGAACTGGAAGGGGTTGGTGAGCGGTTGAGAGGAAGGAAGATCTGAAAGATAGAGATTGGCTGCCCCTGGAGCCAACCCTCCTGGCGATTCCAGCATCTCTGGGGGTCCCTAAGTGAGGTTGGGTTGTGCAGGCTTTGGGTCTGTGGATTCAGCTACAGGTGGGATACTGCACGGCAGGAACCAATGGGGCCACTAAGGATGCTCCAAGCGAGGCCTTGGAATGTTCACACCCTGACAGTTGTGTGGAGCTCTGTTTCGCTGCTATTTGCTAGAGATACCCCACATCCCGCTGGCTCAAGTTAGCACTGGGTCTTGACCCCATCGGCCATGTCAAAGGCAAGGTTCACGGGGGCTAGGGGCTGCAGCGGGGGCAGGCTGGCCTCCAGGGGCCTATCTGCAGATGGCTGCAGACTCTGATGGCGCTTCCTCAGCATCTGTCCGATGCCCATCATGGGGAACCGGCCTCGGCTTTTCACACAATTCGGGCTCCCCAGAGGCTGCATAGGGCCATTGCTGGGAACCGGAGGTGGGGAACACAGGCCCTCCTCTTTTGGGGGGCTGTTTTTATCTTCATGAGCAAAAGAGACCAGAGTTGGATGCAAAGGAGTATGGAGAGGCGACATGCTTCCGGACGGCAGCCCCGGGGACAGCGTCCTCTCGCTGGAATTTCTGCGAGCCAAGCTGACCGGGGAGTTCAGAATCCTGTAGTGATGAGAGGGAGACAGCACTTCTATGTGGTCGTCTCGGTCCACAGACTCGAAGGAGCGCACCATGTCCAGCATCAGGGGGTCTTCCTTGTGGGGGATGCCGGTGCTTCCGGACCCTGGCTGATGGGGCTCCGGTTTCTTCACAATCCTCGGGGTCCTGGGTGGTGGCACGGGGATGAACTCCATGGAGGAAGAAGCCACACAATTGGAGTCAGAGGTTTTGCGGAAAATATTGCGGCAGCCAAAGGAATCTGCACACCAAGAAAGCGTAAACAATCATGAGGACGCCTGGACAGTGTGCACAGCCCTTCTCCTGCCTGCTCTGACCTCCAGCTCGACTGAGACAGTTCCCCGCCAAGGTCAGAAGAAACCAGCCAGCAAACAGCCTTGGCTACTTTGCAAAAGTCACCAGCAGCGTGTCACTCTCCCCACAGACGCCAGGCAGTCTTTCTAGGACAGAGGGACAGAGGGCTGGCGACAGGAGGTCTCCTGGATTCCAATTTGCCTCATGGCCCCAACCTAACATTATGCCTGCTTTTGATTGCTTAAAATTCTGGATCCTAGGCAGCGGTGGCTCATGCCTGTAATCCCAGCACTTTAGGAGACCAAGGTGGGAGGACTGCTTGAGCCCAGGAGTTCAAGACCAACCTGGGCCATATGGCAAGACCCTGTCTCTAAAAATTTTTTTAAAAATTAGCTGGGTGTGGTGGCATGCACCTGTGGTCTTGCAGGTGGTACTTGGGAGGCTGAGGTGGGAGGATCACCTGAACCTCGGAAGTGGAGGCTGCAATGAGCCTTGATAGCACTACTGCACTGCAGGCTGGGTGACAGAGCGAGATTCTGTCTCACAAAAAAATAAAAAAAAAAAAATCTGGACCTTGCCAAAGGATCTTGGAATAAAAAAGGCACATATACTCAAAAGCATATCCATAAAACTCCCAGAAGCACACCAAGGTCCCCTGACTGAACTCCCGCCAGTCTGGTCCTTGGACAGCCCACACTGGAAGGCGTGCTTCCCTCGTGACTTTTAAAAAATTTATTTACTGTGGTAAAAAACACGTAACAGAAATGTTATCATCTTAACCATTTTTAAGTGTACAGTTCAGCTGTAATAAGTATATTCACACTGTTGTAGAATCAATCTGCAGAACTGTCTTCCTGTTGCAAATCTAACACCCCATATATATCCCCACGCTCTGAAACCCCCGGCAACCACCATTTTACTGCCTGTCTCTATGAATCGAACCACTCTAGGGACCTCATATAAGTGGAATCACACTATCTGCCTTCAGTGACTGGCGTAATTCACTTAGCATAATGCCCTCCAGGTTCATCTGTGTTGGAGCATGTGTCAGGATTTCCTTCCCTTTTAAGGCTCCCTCATGACTTTTGATCTGGATGGAGCCTCATCCAATTCTGAATGGGGGTAAAACATCATCCATCCATCCAGTTAAGGCAACGTGCCAGATCCCCATGGTTTCTGTCTCTGGTTGGCACAGACTAGAATCCAGGTTTGCAAACTGGGCCAGAAAAGAAAGGGGAAACCCTCTACAGATTTGGAGATGAGGGAAATAAAGCCAAGTTCATGTGGAATAAGCTCTGTCTTAGCTTCTTTCTTTTCCCATAACGTTTTATAGGCTCTGCGGAGGCCCAGCTGCAGGAGCAAGCTGCTGCCCACTGGGATCGATTTTGGGAGCAGCTGAGGGCATTGGGAAGCCTCCCTGCCTTGCAGAAATAAACACATAGGCGCTGAAATGAAACTGGCCGGCACAGGCGCCTGAGATGCATCAGCAGAAAGAAGTAAAACTTCATTAATGGCCAAGATCTCCAATGTTCCAGCTGCCACATGGACACTGCTGCCCCTCCCAGATCCACTGCATGCTCTGCCCCAGGGAAAGCAGGTTGCTTTGGGCAATGTGGGGACAGTGGCCTCTCTCTGGGAGCAGCATGGGAGGCAGAAGGACAGGAGGCGGGTTCAAGTCCTGCTCAGGCACTGCCTGCCTGCTACACCTGAGTGTATCTCAGACAGCCACGGCCCTCTCTGAACCTGGTTCTTCATATTTAAGGAGATTGAACTCCAAGAAGTGTCTCATCCCCCTCAGTAACAGGAACCTCTCTTCTACCTCACAGCTCTGCTTCAGGACGCCCTCGGCTTCTGTGTCCCCTCTCGGCGTTTCTACCATGTGTTAAGCCTGTGCCCAGTAAGGTCTGCTTTTTGCATCTTTTAGCACTCGTCCCAGAGGAGGGAAATGCACGTTTGTCAGTTCTCTGTGATGGGCTGGATTCTGACTCAGGTGAGGAAGCCTATATATGCATCTCACCTCATCTGCCCAACAGCTCCGACAGGTGGGAGCCCTTACAAATCCAGTGAAGACCCTCAGCAGTAAAGGAACTTGCACCTCTGCAGGCAGCAGAGCTGGAATCTGAACTCAGGGAGATACCCGGTCTCCGCTCTGCACGCCATCTCTACTCCCACAGTTCCTTACAGCCTCATCTCTGTCCCTACAGTACCGCACACCCTGACCTCTGCTCTGCACCCCATCTCTACTCCCACAATTCCTTACAGCCTCATCTCTGTCCCTACAGTACCGCACACCCTGACCTCTGCTCTGTACCCCATCTCTACTCCCACAATTCTTTACAGCCTCATCTCTGTCCCTACAGTACCGCACACCCTGACCTCTGCTCTGTACCCCATCTCTACTCCCACAATTCCTTACAGCCTCATCTCTACCTGACCTCTGCTCTGTACCCCATCTCTACTCCCACAATTCCTTACAGCCTCATCTCTACCCCTACAGTACCGCACACCCTGACCTCTGCTCTGCACGCCATCTCTACTCCCACAATTCCTTACAGCCTCATCTCTACCCCTACAGTACCACACACCCTGACCTCTGCTCTGTACCCCACCTCTACTCCCACAATTCTTTACAGCCTCATCTCTGTCCCTACAGTACCGCACACCCTGACCTCTGCTCTGCACACCATCTCTACTCCCACAATTCCTTACAGCCTCATCTCTGTCCCTACAGTACCGCACACCCTGACCTCTGCTCTGCACACCATCTCTATTCCCACAATTCCTTACAGCCTCATCTCTACCCCTACAGTACCACACACCCTGACCTCTGCTCTGCACGCCATCTCTATTCCCACAATTCCTTACAGCCTCATCTCTGTCCCTACAGTACCACACACCCTGACCTCTGCTCTGTACCCCATCTCTACTCCCACAATTCTTTACAGCCTCATCTCTGTCCCTACAGTACCACACACCCTGACCTCTGCTCTGTACCCCATCTCTACTCCCACAATTCTTTACAGCCTCATCTCTGTTCCTACAGTACCACACACCCTGACCTCTGCTCTGTACCCCACCTCTACTCCCACAATTCCTTACAGCCTCATCTCTGTCCCTACAGTACCACACCCTGACCTCTGCTCTGTACCCCATCTCTACTCCCACAATTCCTTACAGCCTCATCTCTACCCCTACAGTACCGCACACCCTGACCTCTGCTCCTGCAACACTGTGCCTCCCAAACTCTGTTCTGACAATATCATCCACCCCAATTTCTGTTTCTACAATACTTTGCGCCCCATCTCTGTTTTCCCAAATCCTTCCTGCGCAAGTGGCTAATGCCACACAGCTTGGTCCTGGACTGTGCTCAGGCAACCTCAGGTCCATGAATCCTGCCTTTGTGTGGGCACAGGAATCATCTCTGCTCTAGGGCCCATTCGGCCATCTGCTGTGAGGGCTACACAGTGGACACGCAGCCCAACACAAGTGGCCTGAGAGAGTCCCCAGAGCTGACCCACCTTTGTCGGGGAAGCTGGACTTGGAGGCCTTCCGGTCCTTCAGGAGGGCTCTGGTGTTCTGAATCTGTGTCATGAGCGAGGCTGAGGGCTGTTTGTGCGAGGGCAGGTTCTTGTCCAACTTCTTGGAGAATGGTCGATGAAGAAAATCCCCTCTTTTTTCTTGTTCTTTGGGCTTTTTATCCTGCAAATCAGAAGCAAACATATGCACTTAGACACACTCTAGAAGATCCAATGGGATTCCTCTTTGAAAAGTCATCCAAACCAATGAGAGAAACTCCAGCTTTTCAATACTCTATGCTCTCAACTGTGTGTTGAATGAGGGAGGAGCTGTGGCCCAGCCAATGCTCCAGGAAGCCCATCTCCCTCTGCCTGGGCAGCGAGTGGCCTTCAATGGACCCCAGCGCCCTTTCACTGTGCTCTTTCAAAGCCTTCCAGCAAGGACAAGGCATTCCTAGGAGGTCACTTCTTCTGGAACAAGCCCAACAAACTAAGGTGAAGCAGAGAAGGGCTTCTGGAAACCTCCTGTCTGCATTTAAAGAGGAGCCCAAAGATTGTGCCCGCAGTAATGGCTTTGCAAAGGCAACAGGGAACATAACTGCTTCCACCTTCACATCAGGATCTATTTGGGGCAGTCAAGTCAAGGAGGTGCCAACACAATATATACAACAAATCCAGGGAGCCCTGAGTGGTCCTGATGGGCTTCCAGCCCTTTCTACCCTAATCATGCGAGAACTTACTTGCATACTTAGGACTCGAGTGTATGAAGCATTTTTTTTTTTTTTTTTTCTTGAGGCAGGATCTTGTGCTATCACCCAGGCTGTGGTGCAGTGGTGTCATCATATCTCACTGCAACCTCGAGCTCCTGGGCTCAAGTGATCCTCCCACCTCAGCCTCCTGAGTAGCTGGGACTACAGGTGTGCACCATCATGCCCAGCTATTTTAAAAAGAAAGATTTCTTATAGAGATGGGGTCTCGGTATGCTGTCCAGGCTGGTTTCGAACTCCTGCCTCAAGCAACCCTCCTGTCTCAGCTTCCCAAAATGCTGGGATTACAGATGTGAGCCAAAACGCTTGGCAGCGGCCATTCTTTTGGTATACATCTTGCCTTTGTTGTACTAGATGATAATCCATCTGATGGGAATGAATTTGACTTTTATATATCTTTAAGTCCACAGCCTCTGGCATAAAGCCAGATGCTTAGAGAAAGCTTAATAAACAGTTATTGAAATGTTTTTTAAAAAGGCTGGTAGAAACTGAACTGAATTAATTTTGATTCAGTTCAAGCTTCTGGGAAAGGTGATGTCACTAAGAAGCAGCAGCAGTTCTTTTTCCGCCCCTAAAGCCTGTGTTTGGTGTTTACTGTTAAAGCAACCCCACCTCTGACCTCACCGTGGGTGAGGAGGAAAAAAACGCTTTTCTTTTTCACATTTTTGCCCTCAACTTTAACCAGCATTTGCAAACCAAGAGAGCTCATGTAGTTTCCATTCATGTTGTTGAGGAGCTTCTCAGGGAAACATCTCTTTGCACTTTTACAGCCCTTTCTAATAAGGATGTTCAAAGTCTTTGCAGATTAGAGTTCATGATGTCCAGTTTGTGAGTGGGAAAGAAGACGGGGGAGATGTGGGAAGTGGGGACGCTGAGCCTCGTGGCAAGTGCCACTGTGAGGGGCCACAGCTCCCTGGGAGCCTGGCCTGTAGCTGATGTGGCTGCTTCCCAACAAAGGGGTGACATGGGAAGCCAGGAGAGGCGAAGCTTCCTCAAACTCCCTCCTTAGCACCTTCACAGCTGCCACCAGCCTTTTTTGAGAACACGCGGGGTGCCAGATGCTGCACTGAGGACATGACCCATCAGTCTGCTACCTCCTTTACATGTGAAGAAACAGTCTGTAGTGCTTATGTAATCCACCGTGAGCCCGGTGGAAACGTGGATTTTCCCGGCCCTGAAGTCGATGTTGTCAGCCCTTGACTTGACACCACACTCTCAGAGCCTGGGGCAGGGTCAGGCGGTTCCAGGTATGGAAAGGTCCGGAGGCAGGAGTGTGCCACAGTCCTAGGCTCCTGCAGTGGCATCCGAATGTTCCAGAGAAGGTTATGTGCTCCAGGGCATTATCTGGGATGCCCCGAAGGGGAACTTTCATGGGGAACGTGTGCTCCAGGTCACCTTGGTTGAAGCCAGCAAAGGACAATCACCGCCTTCCACGGCTTTCCTCTCCCTTTGTGTCCGTGACACACCAACAGGCCACCTTCTCTAAGGCAAAGGAGAACAAGCTTTTGCACACACAGAGACGCACACCCATCCAGCAGCAAACGCAATGTTACCGGCTTTCCTGAAAAATCTGGCAGAATCTCCTTCTAGCTGGTTCCCTTTCTCTACTTTTACGCAAAAGTCACCAGCTCTACCTGCTAACACCTTCTACGGGAAAAAGTAATCAAATGCGCCTTTGTCTCCATTTCCAAACAATATTTGGTAGAAAAGACAGCACTGCAGTTCCTTCCGTTTTCGGATTGCTTTTTAAATCGATCAGCAAACATTTTTTCAAGGCTGTCATCCACAGCCTTGAGAGCTGCCGGTGGCTGTCTAGGTTTCTTTTCATTCCTTTCTAACCCTCCTTGGGTTCTCAAAAACTTAACAGTCAAGATGCAAGACTTCTGCGGACCAGTATCACCACCCAGACAGGGTCCAGAGGCACCTACTGGTGTGTAATGCGTGGGAGTTTGCTGTGGAAAGAGACCAGGGTTGGCCTGTAAGACCAAATTTCTCCTGTCGCTGACAAGAGGGCTATTTGGCAATGAGCAGAAAGCTGCTATGGGGGCAGAAAAGAGGCAAAATGCACCCCCGGACAGAAAATTCCAGGAAACCCTGCCAAGGCCACCCTTGTTCAACTTCATCCCAAGATCCTGCAGCCTGGTATGTCCTCCAAGAACCCCTAGAACGTGCTTCTCCAGCTGAAAAGAATCAGTGATTTCACAGCAAGCGGTTTCTAAGGAGAAATCAAGAATTCACCCCACCTGCTCCCTGTGGGGGACAAACCTCAGAGTCAGTCCACGCACACCGGTCAACAGCCTGGAGAAAGCATGTTTATTTACAACCAGCCAATCTCCCTGCTTTCCAAGCACGTGTTACCAAATGCAACCAATCACCCAATCAGACTTTTTTATTTGCATGGCCTATTTTCTCCAAAAGAAATTTCTTAGGGAGCAGGATGCTAAATTGCCTTAGGTAACAGAAACAGATCTTCAGAGGGCTTATCACATCCCCCTTCCACATGCAAGTTCCTCACACAGCAAAGCAGCCGCCTGCAGACACTCCTGGCTTCCCTCCGATACGCTCCAGTACCCACGTGGACTTGAGGGTGGGTGATGGAATTCAAGCTCTCGGTTCGAAGCCTGCCCTCTTGCACCTTCAAGCACAGTTCCAAATCCCCCCAGGCAGATCAGAGAAAAGACCACATGAGGCCCCAGAGGCAAGCCACATACACTAAACAGCTTCTTGTTCTCTATCAACTATTTCCACCCACTGCAGATGTGCATGGACATTTACAAAGAGGGACATTTTGAAAACACGGCCCCATGAACAATCATTTACCCAGGATCCTTCATGTTGTGTATTGTCCCGTGGAGGAGATGGAGATGCCTACAGGAGGGCGAAACCCATCCTCAGCCTCTGAAGTCTGAGCTCCAGAGGGCTGGTTCCCTTTGAAGTCTTTCCTGATGGCTGTGCAACTAGGGGTATGACGGCCACTGAAGAATGACCCCAGGCTTCTGTGTTCCAAAGACCCACACCGCCCCCTTCTTTCCCGGCGTGGCTGCCGCGGGTGCTGCACCTGAGAATCCCAGCCACGGTCACAGCTCGGCAGTCTGAAGTCTGGAGTCCATTCCTTGCTCTCTCCAGAATGTGTTGGGTGACCTTGAGCAATTCACTTCTCCTCGAGGGAGGTGTTTTCCCACGTGTAACCAAAAGTGTGGTTCCTTCCCAGCTCTGGGAGGATAACGATGAACACACATCACACCTGCTTTATCGCCTGAACAGCAAATGCACCCATTTAACAGGGATGGACGCCTGCTTTGAACCCTCATCACCTCAGGCTGGAGGATGGATGGCTGCCTGGGAAATCTGCCTCTTTCCGCATGTGGCAGAGGGGCCCTGGGACCTGAGATGAGTTTTCTTTGAGTAACTCTTATCGAGTCCAGCTGGACGTGGGCTTTTCTGGAGCTTTCCTTCCCTTTGATGATTAGTAAGCCTCACCAGGCTATTTGGTGTGTCAGAACCAAGTGCTGACTGCTACCAGCTGGGATGGCCCAGGGCCCAGATGTCGGTGGCTGGTTGGTTTTGGTTCTTTGCTGCCCATCACATAAGGGGAAATCTGATTTTGCTGCAGAAAAACCTACAAGTGAGTTGATAAAAAGAGGGCTTTGAGCCGGGCGTGGTGGCTCACGCTTGTCATCCCAGCACTTTGGGAGGCCGAGGCAGGCAGATCACTTGAGGTCAGGAGTTTGAGACCAGCCTGGCCAAGATGGTGAAACCCTGTCTCTATTAAAAATACAAAAATTAGCTGGGCGTGGTGGCGAGCGTCTATAGTCCCAGCTACTCAAGAGGTTGAGGCAGGAGAATCATTTGAGCTCAGAAGGCAGAGCGGTCTACAGCGGAGCCAAGATCACAACACTGCACTCCAGCCTGGGCGACACAGCGAGACTCCATCTCAAAAAAAAAAAAAAAAAAGAGGGCTTCATTCATAAATTAGGCCACTGAGCCAGGAAGCTCTAGATAGCTGCAAATCCCATTTCTCATACAGGTGGAAACAGAAATGCACAGCCAGGTGTAGAGTTGTAATGAGACAATAAAAAACAGTCAATTCCACATAGCCAGAACCAATGTGGTCTAAAGGGATTCTGATAAACTCACAACAGGATTCGGCATGTTTTACTTCTGGATAAGGATGGGCTGGCAGAGCCTGCTGCCCTGGCAGAGACTGACCAACCCTTAGGATCATAAGTGATGGTTAATTTCATATGTTAACTTGGCTAGGCCATGGTACCCAGTTGTTTGCCAAACACCAGTCTAGACTGTTCTGTGAAGGTGTTTTAAAGATGTGATTAACAGGCCGGGAGCAGTGGCTCACCCTATAATTCCCAGCACTTTGGGAGGCTGAGGCGGTGGATCACTTGAGGTCAAGAGTTCGGAGAACAGGGCGGGCGCGGTGGCTCAAGCCTGTAATCCAGCACTTTGGGAGGCCGAGACGGGCGGATCACGAGGTCAGGAGATCGAGACCTCCTGGCTAACACGGTGAAACCCGTCTCTACTAAGAAATACAAAAACTAGCCGGGCGAGGTGGCAGGCGCCTGTAGTCCCAGCTACTCGGGAGGCTGAGGCGAGAATGGCGTGAACCCGGGAGGCGGAGCTTGCATGAGCTAGATCCGGCCCTGCACTCCAGCCTGGGCTACAGAGCGAGACTCCGTCTCAAAAAAAAAAAAAAAAAAAAAAAGAGTTCGAGAACAGCCTGGTCAACACAGTGAAACCCCATCTCTACTAAAAATACAAAGCTAGCCAGGCGTGCGGGTGGGCACCTGTAATCCCAGCTACTTGGGAGGCTGAGGCAGGAGAATTGCTTGAACCCGGCAGGCGGAGGTTGCAGTGAGCCGAGATCACACCACTGAACTCCAGCCTGGGACAGAGAGAGACCCAGAATAATAATAATAATAATAAATAAATAAAGTGGTTAACATTTAAATTAGACTTTAGGTCGATTATCCTCCATGATGTGGGTCTCATCTGATCAGTCAACGCTCAAGAAAAAAAAGAATGAGGTCTTCCGGCAAAAGAAATTCTGCCTGTAGATGGCCTTCGGACTTGAAGCTGCAACATCAACTCATCCACCTGCTGGTCTGCCCTGCAGATTGCAGACTTGCCAATCCCCACAACTGTGTGATCCAGCTCCTTAAAGTAAATCTCAGTCTCCAATCTCTCTCTCTCCATGCTCTGCTGGTTCTGTTTCTCTGGAGAACCTGACTAATACATAATAATCCCCCAAGTTCTTACCTGCACAGCATGGAATTCAAGATCCCTTGTCCAGTGGCCAGAGAGGCCTGTGAAAAGGAACATCCTTCAACAATTCGAGAATCTGCACTTGCCTATTTATTCCTAAATGCCTTCCCCCATGGCCCTGCAGCTCTGGCTGAGAATTATTCGTTTCCGTTTTCATAGACAGAAAGCAAATCCTGAAATCGCCGTGGAAGTAGGCAGCAGATGTCCTAATTCGTGTGCTGAATAGATTTCCTAGGTAAACTTTTCATTAAAATCTAAGACGCTGTGTGGAGGAGTGCTCTAATGATAAGTCAGCAGCTCAATGTTTTCTCAAACAGCAAAGACACCCACAGAAATGTCACTCAGATCAAGAAACAGAACACACAGCCAGCATCTGGAAGGTCCTCCCTGCCATCCCCATGTCCTCTCCCAGGCATTTTGTCCCCCAAGAGTAACCACACTTCTTTTTTTTTGAGACTGAGTCTCGCTCTGTTGCCCAGGCTAGAGTGCAGTAGCATGACCTTGGCTCACTGCAAACTCTACCTCCCAGGTTCAAGCGATTCTCCTGCCTCAGCCTCCCGAGTAGATGGGATTACAGTGTGTACCACCACACCCGGCTAATTTTTGCATTTTTAGTAGAGACAGGGTTTCACCATGTTGGCCAGGCTGGCCTTGAACTCCTGACCTCAAGTGATCCACCCGTCTTGGCCTCCCAAAGTGCTGGGATTACAGGCGTGAGCCACTGAGCCCAGCCAAGTAACTACATTTCTGATTTCTAACAGCACAGATCACCGGATCTGATTCTGAACTATATTTTTAATAGTATAGATTTTGAAGTAAGACACAAAGTGAACATTTTAATATTTGCCTTTAAATGTTTCATCCCTGTGTGGGTTGAATTATATTCTCCCCAAATTCATAGGTTAAAGTCTAACCCCAGGACCTCAGAATTTGACCTTATTTGGAGAGAGAGTCTTTACAGAGGTAATCAAGTTTCAATGAGGCTGTTACGGTGAGCCCTAATGCAGTATGACTGGTGTCCTTTAAAAATGTGGAAATTTGGGCTGGGCGTGGTGACTCACATCTGTAATCTCAGCCCCTTGGGACTCTGAGGTGAGCAGATACCTTAAGCTCAGGAGTTCAAGACCAGCCAGGCAACAAGGTGAAACCCCTTCTCTACAAAAAATTAGCCAAGCCTAATGGTGCATGCCTATAGTCCCAGCTACTAGGGAGGCTGAGGTGGGAGGATCACCTGAGTCGGGGAGGCCAAGGCTGAAATGAAATATGATTGTGTCACTGCATTCCAGCTTGGCCTGGAAACAAAGAAAAAGGAAGGAGGGGAGGGAAGGGAGGGGAAGGAGAAGGGAGAAAAAGAGAGAGAGAGAAAGGAGGGAGGGCAGGAAGGAAAAAAGGAAGAAAGAAGAGAGGAAGAAAGAAAGAAAAAGAAAGAGAAAGAAGAAATAAAGAAAAAGACAGAAAGATGGGAAAGAAGGAAGGAAGGAAGGAAAGAAGGAAGGAAAGAAGGAAGGAAGGAAGGGGGGAAAAGAAAGAAAAGAGAGAAAAATGAGGGAGGGAGGAGAGAAAAGAACGGGAAAATTGGGACAGATACACACACAGGAGAATGCCGTGTAGATGAAGGCAGAGATTGTGGTGATGCATCTGTAAGGCCTGAACCTGGCCTCCAGAACTGTGAAAAGGTAAATTTCTACCCATTTTGTGGTGCTTGTTAGGGCAGCCAAGCAGACAAATCCAGCCCCCCGCCACCCTCTCCATCAGTTTTCTTGAAAACTCCAACATTACTTTGTCATTGTAGAGGAGACCTCCCAGCTGGATTTGACATTTTCCTATCAATGAACACTATTTTTCAAAAGACTTGAACAAAACTGGCTCTGGGCTCTCCATGGCTTTCATAAGCCAATTTAAAAATGATAACCTCCCCACCTCGACCCCCAAAGTCCCGGGGGGTTCTCTCTTTTAGAAAAAGGAGTCTGTTGGGCACACACGACAGGTGTCCTCAGATGAGAAATGCACCCCACTTTGATAGACATAGTCTCTGCCTTTGACAGGAAAAAGAGGTAGAGAAAATGGTAAAGTGGTAAAATCACTGCACAGTAACCCCAAGAGGGAAGTTGTTGCAACTTAATTCAGCTCCTTTGTCTCCTAGGAGAAAACGAACTGGCATCAAAAGGAACAAAGAGGCCACTGCATGCACTCAGTGCGCGGGACACGGCTTGATGACAGCCCTAGGGGACACGGGCCCTGGGCCACACCCCGGTTTGCTCACAATCTGAAACCTCTCCACCACTCCCTCTCCCCATCCAGCTCCACCCCTGCCACGTGGTGCTGAGGACGACTGGAAGGCCCTCGGGCTCCGAGTGGACCTTCCCTGGGAGGCCTGGGCCCTTCCCTTTCCCGAACTAGCCTCACTCCACTTTCTAGGTTCCGCCGGAGACAAGCTGGATCATCTGGTAATAGCTGTCATTTCATTAGAGAAGTATCGCTGCAGTTTAGAGGAAACAAATGGATCATAGAAAATTGAATGCTGTTTGCCCATTAGTGTTCCTATTTAAATCCTAACCGTTAAATATTTCAACAAATGTTTAAACGCTTACCATGTGTCTTCAGGCCAGAGGAAATAACAGAGAAAAGGAATCGGAATGAAAGAAGGGCCCTCTCCCACTAGAGTTCTGGCCCCTTCTGACACACACTCGCAGTGGGGCGCATGTGAGGGCAGCGTGGACCAGGGCGTCGGCAAGGTGGCTTACAGGCCACCTAGGGCACACGCTCCATGCACCTAAGTTTGCATTGTTATTTGAGGTCCTCATGAGTGACATGCAAAGCACAAGGGAGGAAGTCTAACAGTGAATTCTGCATCCCCTGGACTCTGGCTGGGGTGACCACCCTCAGTGCAGCTGACGTAAGGCATGGCCATTTGGTGATGGTAACATCATGTGTGTGCTAGGCTGCAGGTATCCCCCTGCCTTTAATCCAGCCAGGTGTCCCACCTGGAATGTCCTACCTATTCCAGTTGCTTGTCCCAGTTCTATCCATTTTCTGAGACTCTGATCAGGGCTCACTTGATCTTTTCATTTGTTTATTGAGCAAATATTTATTGAGCACCTACTACATGCTGGGCATCATGTGGCCTCTGGGAATATCGTGAGGAGCAAAAGGGACTCAGAGCCCACTCTCCTGGAACTCACAGCCCAGAGGGAGAGATGTTAATCAAACAGCCCCAGAACAAATACACAGCTGCAAACGGGACAGGCCCCAGGATGTAGAACGTGGTAGGCAGATAGGATAGATAGGATAAGACTGGATGGCAGAGGTCAGGGAATAGCAGGGGCCCATGGGGAGGTGATCTTGCTTTGGGATCTGAAAACACTTAGGTTTAGCAAAGAGGAGCAGGGAAAACATTCTGAAAGAGGGAACGTCATGTGCACAGCCCCGGCAGGCAGAGAGAGCACAGCAAGCCCTAAGGCTGTGGACTGAGCACAGGGCGGGACTCGGCGCTGTGTGTGTGGGGGCCATGGGGCTGGGAGACAAGGTAGGAGAAGCAAGCTGGGGCTGAACCACACAGGGCGACCACGCACAGAGTCTGCCCGGCAAGTGAAGGAAGCCTCCGAAGGTCTCAAGCAGGAAAGTGACATGATGAGGTGTGAGGGTGAAAAGCTCGCTCTGACGGCCAGGCAGGAGAGAGTGGCAGGCCACCATCCCGGAAGCAAGAGGCTCAGCTAGGAGGGCATAGCAGAAGTCCAGGACAGAGGTGATATGGCTGGGAACAGGTGTGGGGACGCAGATGGACAGAGTGCAGGGGCTGGAGGGGTTTAGCAGTCAAATTGGCAGAACTTGGTGATGGGGTAGCTCTAGGGGTCAGGGGAGAGTTATAGTCAAGGACTCGGGTCTCTTCCCTGCACTGCTGGAGGATGGGGCTGCTACTGTGCTGGGGGGCGGAGGGGGCGGGAGGAGAGTCTGGTTCAGAGCGTGCTAGATTCAAGACCCCTTCGTTCATGCAAGAGAGGGTTAACATTTAGTAATCAACTAGCCAGAGGGGTCTAGAGTTCGGGGGCATCTGGGTCCCCACTACCTGGCTCTCCAGCTTTAAGCCTGAAAGTCACACCTGGGTTTGTGGCTTAGCTCCTGCAGCCACAGCCCACCTTCCAAAGAGCTTGTCTCCATCCTCATCTTCCCCGGGCCCCACAGCCTGTCTTGAGGAAGGGATATCCAGCCTGGGGTCAAGGCCAAGGCCCACCATTCCTCCCCTGCCCCAAGCATCCTTCTATCAAGGACACGTTCTCTCCCTTCACTGCAGCATCACTGACAGACAGGTACATGCTCACGGACTTCACTTCCCCCTCCCCACCCCCAAATCCACGCAACCTCTCTGCTGCCTTTGGCACTTCACAAAGCTGTTCTTTCTAACATGCTCAGGACAACTAGCTGCCCAGTAGACAATGCTGACCATTTCATGTGTGACCTTTCCTCTGTTCCCACGGCCCTCTCGGTCCCCCGCTGGCATCACTGCCTTCTGACTGCCCCACCCCCTGCCCGGCCACCCCCCAGCCCTCGTCTTTGCCAGTTTCTCCTCTCCCTCTGCCCCAGGGTCTATCTGAAATGGAGACCCGTGCCATTGCCCACCTTGATGCTGGGGTAGTTCCCTCTCCTGAGCTCCCGTCACATTCACACACGGGGCCCTGCAGCTGGGCACTCCCTGTCATCAGTGTCCCTGGACACCTGCTTCACTGGCTGCCCAGGAGCCCATTGTGGGCCCCAGTAACCACCATGCTCCACTGCAGTCCTGCGTGCAAGACAAGCCCGGAGAAGAATCCTTCCAGAGCGATGTGCACTGCTCATGGGATCAGGATGAAAACTTTATGTCGGAAAAGGAAAGAGAGGAGAGGCCAGGCCCAGTGGCCTCACTGGGGCATAGACAAAGGGTCCCTTTTTGATCCCTTCTCAAATGAAGGAACTTCTGGGTGGGTGATATGATTTGTCCCCACCCAAATCTCCCCTTGAATTGTAAAAATCCCCATGTGTCAAGGGTGGGGCCAGGTGCAGATCACTGAATCATGGTGGCGGTTTCCCCCATACTGTTCTCATGGTAGTGAATAAGTCTCACAAGATCTGATGGTTTTACAAAGGGGAGCTCCCCTGCACAAGCTCTCTTGCCTGCCGCCATGTAAAACATGACTTTGCTCCTCATTCACCTTCCGCCATGATTGTGAGGCCTCCCCAGCCATGTGGAACTGTGAGTCCATTAAACCTCTCTCCTTTATAAATTATCCAGTGTCAGATATGTCTTTATTAGCAGCGTGAGAACAGACTAATAGACCTGGGTGTCCCAGGAGAGAGGTTCCCGTGGCAAGGACACTCAGGGGACATAAAGAGGCTCCAGAGGGGAAAGGGAAGAGGTTCCGAGGAAAATCGCTGAGAGAAAGAAGAGCTCCCTTGGCAAAAAGTGAATGAGGGGCCCTGAGACCACACCCCACCCTGGCCCCCTCCCTGGATCTGGAATTCACAGGCATAGTCTCCTAATAAACATGGATGTGAGATCCAGATTTGAGACGATTTGCCACAGGAGTCTAGTTTTCATTCTGAAATCAAAGAGCTGTGGTCTTTTTCTCTAGGTACGTCCCAGGTTACATCAGGTCACCAGGGACAGCTGGCCAAGAAAGCCTGCGTGATCCCAAACTTTCCTGGTCCTCATCTCACTTTCTTCTGATGCCACGTGTTACGCTCAGCTCTATTTTTAAGCATCTCATTTTTTTCTAGCATTTGCATTTTTTTCCTTTTATTTTTAGTTGATGCATAATCATTATACATCTTTTTTATGGGACAGAGTGATATTTCCATCCATGTATTCAATATGTAATGATCAAATCAGGGTGATCGGCATATTTATTACCTCAAATATTTATCACTTCTTTGTGTTAGGAACATTCAAAATCCTCTTTTAGCTTTTTGAATAGATATAATAAGTTATTGTTAACTACAGTCACCCTACAGTGCCACAGAACACCAGAACTTATTCCTTCTGTCTAGCTGTAATTTCATGTTCGTTAAGCAGCCTCTCTCTACCCTCCCTTCCCCGTGCCGTTCCAAGCCTCCAATAACCACAGTTTTACTCTGTACTTCTATGAGATCAGTTTTTGCTAGTTTCACTCACATGTGAGTGAAACACTGAAACATCTCATTTTCATTTTGGGAGATCCTGACAGTGGTTTTCAACTTTGGCTGCTTACTGGAACATCCAGGGAGCTTCAAAAACTCCCGATACCCGAGTCTCAACTCCCAAGATTGGATGGAACTGGTCTGAGGAGCAGCCTGGGCATCCAGATGTTCAAACGCTCCCCGCGACTTTAACATGCAGCCAGAGCTGAGAACCGTGGTTTAGACACCGCGAAGCCGGTTCCGCTGTAAACCATTTCTCCAGGGCTCCGTTATGAGTGTAAGTATGTGTCTTTTGCTACTTCAGTGTCCTACAGTAATTGGTTTCTTTTCCAATTGCTGCAAATGGAAATCCACCCTTCCTAAGAGACCCTGAGGTTGGCTTCAGGGATCACTCACCTCATAGGACTCCTTGGGGGCCCTGTACTTTTCTATCTGGTAGAGCCGGGTCTTGTAGCAGAGGCTGTCCTGGATGTCAGATTTCTACCAGAGGAGAAAAGAAAAAGCACAGCTCAACTCTCAGAAACAGAAATGTCCATTAAGCAGTCATTAATTTTTAAACCAGCGCTTGGCTGAGAGAATGCTGGAAATGTTTGGCAGGCCAGTAAATTGCAACATAAAGTCTCACCCCAGGATGGCCTGCATGCAGAATGCAGCGTGGGGTGAGCCCTGGGCGCAGAGTCGGGTCACCTACTTGTGTTACTATCACTGCCAGCAAAGGGCCAGGTGACCCTGAGTAGAATGCTGCCCCTTACAGGGCCTCAGTTCTTTTATCTGTGCAGTAAGACTACTCAAAAACATGTATGTAGAAACCAAGAAAATGAGCTGGAAAGAATAACTTATTTTATTGGACCACTACATAGAACATGGATCTTGCTTGTTTGCTTTATTTTAAAACAGCACACGGCCGGGCGCAGTGGCTAATGGAATCCCAGCACTTTGGGAGGCCAAGGTGGGTGGATCACCTGAGGTCAGGAGTTTGAGACCAGCCTGGCCAACATGGCGAAACCCTGTCTCTAGTAAAAATACAAAAATGGCCGAATGTGGTGGCACACGCCTGTAATCCCAGCGACTTGGGTGGCTGAGGCAGGAGGATCACTTGAACCCGGGAGGTGGAGGTTGCAGTGAGCCAAGATCATGCCACTGCACTCCAGCCTGGGTGACAAGAGTGAGACTGCGTCTCTCAAGAAAATAAAAATAAACAAAAAACAACAGTGCACACACACACACCACACACACATACGCACACACTGCTCCCCACTACCACCACCCAAATGAAAGCCACGACAATTCCTAACATAGCTCAAAGAAGAAGACAAACAACTGCATTGAAGCTGAGGTGGGTGCAATCCTGTCTGGAAATGGGTGAAATAAAAACACGGATTAATTAATTAATCTACCAACAAATAGTTAACAAATGCCCTTCCAGGCTCTCTATCTTAAAATACATGCTTCGTGGTTTTAAAAAGAGGAAACCAAGAGAGAAGGGAAGAAATGGCCATTAAGAGATAATATTTTACTTTTTAGTTCATTAGATTGAGCTTCAAAATTATACAAGGGGTGTAAATAATTGGTTGATAAGATTAATAACTGGGACAGTGCATACAGTACAATTAAATTAGCCATGTGCGGAAATTACTGAGCAGTTGAGTTGTCTGTAGGGATTAATTCACTCTAGTTAAAAACAGTCACTCGCCTAGAGTATGGATTCTCAGACTAGGTATGCCCTATGATTTAAGCATTAAATGTGAAACAGACATCATAAAACTCACACCTGGTCTGAGAATCCACACTCTAGGCAAGCAGGTGTTTCTAACTAGAGTGAATTAATCCCCACAGACAACTTGTTCAGCAATAAGACAAAGAAGCCCACTCTCACCGCTTCTATTCAGCATAGTACTGCATGTCCTAGCCAGAGCACTTAGGCAAGAGAAAGAAATCAAAGGCACCCTCAGGAAGAATAGCTAAGGAATGCTGGGATTAATACCTAGGTGATAGGTTGCTCTGTGCAGCAAACCACCGTGGCACATGTTTACTTATGTAACACACCTGCACATCCTAAACATGTATCCCGGAACTTAAAATAAAAGTAGAAGGAAAAATAAAAATAAAAATGTTTGGGAAATTGTTAAAATAAATAAATAAGTAAATAAATAAATAAAAGGAATCAAAATTGGAAAGGAAGTTCAATTGTCCCTGTTTGCAGATACACGATCTCATATATAGAAAACCCTAAAGACTCTACCAAAAAACTGTTTGCACTACTAAATGAATTTAGGAAAGTTGCAGAATGCAAAATCAATACACAAAAAATCAATAGTGTTTTCATACACTAACAACAAACTATTCACAAATGCAATCAAGAAAGCAATGCCACTTAAAACAGCCATAAAAAAATCAAATGCTTAGGAACAAATGTAACCAAGGAAGTGAAAGATCTGTACACTGAAAACTATAAGACATTGATGAAAGAAATTGAAGAAGACACAAGTAAATGAAAAGATTGCATAGACTGGAAGAATTAATATGATTAAAATGTCCATAGTATACTAAGCAATCTGTGAATTCAATGGAATCCCTGTCAAAATTCCAATGATGTTTTTCACAGAAACAGAAAAAAAAAAAATCCTAACATTTGTATGGAACCACAAAAGACCCTGAATAGCCAAAGTCATTTTGAACAATAAGATCAAAGCTGAAGCATCACACCACCTGACTTCAAAACACATCACAAAGCTGTAGAAACCAAAACAGCATGATACTGGCATAAAAACAGAGACACATAGACCAATGGAATAGAAAAGAGAGTCCAAAAATGAACCCATGCACTTATGGTCAATTACTTTCTGACAAAGCTGCCAAGAACACAGAATGGGGAAAGGAGATCCTCTTAAATAAATAGTGTTGGAAAACTGGACATCCACAGAGAAGGAAATCAGATCCCATCTCACACCATCTGCAAAAGTCAACTCCAAATGAGTTAAAGACTTAGGCCTGGGCCACAGTGGCTCATGCCTGTAATCCCAGCACTTTGGGAGGCCGAGGCAGACAGATCACCTGAGGTAAGGAGTTCAAGATCAGACTGACCAACATGGAGAAACCCCGTCTCTACTAAAAATACAAAATTAGCTGGGCATGGTGGCGTATGCCTATAATCACAGCTACTTGGGAGGCTAAGGCAGGAGAATTGCTTGAACCTGGGAGGTGGAGGTTGAGGTGAGTGGAGATCTCGCCATGGCACTCCAGCCTGGACAACAAGATCGAACCTCCATCTCAAACAAAATAAAAATAAAAAAAATAAGACTTAGGCCCAGGCCAGGCATGGTGGCTCACGTCTGTAATCCCAGCACTTTGGGAGGCAGAGGCGGGTGGATCACGAGGTCAAGAGACCATCCTGGCCAACTTGGTGAAACCCCATCTCTACTAAAAATATAAAAATTAGCTGGGCATGGTGGCAGGCAGGTGGCTGTAATCCCAGCTACTCAGGAGGCTGAGGTAGGGGAATCGCTTAAAGCCAGGAGGCAGAGGTTGCAGTGAGCTGAGATCGCACCACTGTACTCCAGCTTGGTGACAGAGCCAGACTCCATCTCAAAAAAAAAAAAAAAAAAAGAAGACGACTTAGGGCCGGTGTGGTGGCTCATGCCTATAATCCCAGCACTTTGGGAGGCCAAGGCGGGTGGGCCACAAGGTCAGGAGTTTGAGACCAGCCTGGCCAACATAGTGAAACCCTGTCTCTACTTAAAATACAAAAATTTGCCGGGCATGGTGGTGCGCGCCTGTAGTCCCAGCTACTCAGGAGACTGAGGCAGGAGAATAGCTTGAACCCGGGAGCTAGAGGTTGCAGTGAGCTGAGATCACGCCACTGCACTCCAGCCTGGGGACAGAGTGAGACTCCCTTTCAAAAAAAAGAAATGGCCAATAGGTATTGCTCAATATCACCAATCATAAGGGAAATGCAAATTAAAGCCACAATGAGATACTGCCTCACACCTGTAAGAATAGCTTTTATCATAACGATGGACGATACCACATGTTGGAGAGGATATGGAGAAGAAAGAACCTTTGCACACTGTTGGTGGGAATGTAAATTAGTACAACCATTATAGAAACTAGTATGGTTCCTCAAAAAATTAAAAGTTGAACTACTATATGATCCAGCAATTCCACATCTGGGTCTATATCCAAAGGAAATGAAATCAGTATGTTGAAGACACATATGCACCCCCACCCCATGTTCAATGCAGCATTATTTACAATAGCCAAGAAATGGCTATTGTGTCATCAACGGATGAATGAATAAAGAAAGTGTGTGGTACATATATATAATGGAATACTAGTTAACCTTAAAAAAGGCAGAAATTCTGTCATTTTTGACAATATGGATGAACCTAGAGGACATAATGCTAAGTGAAATAAGCCAGGCACAGAAAGACAAATAGTGCATGATCTCACTTCTACATGGAATCTAAAAAGCGTAGGTCATAGAAGTAGAGAGTAGAATGATGGTTACCAGGGGCTGAAGGGGGTTGGGGGAAGTGGGCAGAAGAGATATTGGTCAAAAGATACAAAATTTCAGTTAAACAGGAGGAAAAAAATTCAAGACACTATTGAACAATGTGGTGACTATAGTTAATAACAGTGTATTTATTCTGGTAAATTGCTAAGAGAGTAGATTTTCAATGGTCTCACCACAAATAAATGATAAATTTGTGTGGTTATACATATTTATTTAGCTTGATTTAGCCATTCCACAATGTATATATATTTCAAAGCATCATGTTGCACAGGATAAATATATACAATTTTTTTGGTCAATTAAATAAATTTAATTGAAAACTACCCCCAAACCTTTTCCAGTTAGAATGACACCAGCTGCGTTTCCAGAGAATGTTCTCAGAAGACAAAGCCCCGCTCTGCTTTGCAACACTCCCAGCCCTGATACTGGGCAAAGGAGACAGGCAGAAATGCAGCAGCTGGCAATACATCCAGGCACATCAGGACACAGCCTAAGAGCTTTAGGCCAGGCGCAGTGGCTCATGCCTGTAATCCCAGTGCTTTGGGAGGCCTAGGCGGGCGGACTACTTGAGCCCAGGAGTTCGAGACCAGCCTGGGCAACATGGCGAAACCCCATCTCTACAAAAAATAAAATTAGCCTCGACTTACCAGGCTCAAGTGATCCTCCTGCCTCAGCCTCCTGAGTAGCTGGGACTATAGATGGATCGCTTGAGCCCGGGAGGTCGAGGCTCCAGTGATCCATGATTGTGCCACTGCACTCCAGCCTGGGCGACAGAGTAAGACTCTTTTTGTTTTGTTTTGTTTTGTTTTGTTTTGAAAAGACAAAAAAAGCTTCAGAAAAAATGTCTCTCTTGCTTGGCATGAGCTATGTTGATTGTTTAAGAAGAGCGTGACTGACAAAAGCTTGTCTCTCTAAATGTGGAAGTAACTATAGGAAAGGTTTTTAAAACCGAAGACCCCTCCGTCTTACTTGGTCAGCACCTGAAGAACTAGTTCCACCAAAAGAAGAGTGTTCGGAACTGTTAACTTACTTGGGAGAGTAGCAATGTCATTCTCTAATAAGTGAAATCATGAGCTTTATAATATAGTCAGTTTCATGAAAATACATTTGAATAACTAAGTTTTGAACAGTATTCATCACCTGAAAAAGAAAATCAGGGCATTAACCCTCTTTTCTTCCTTTTATCTGAAGACTATTTAAATTCTTAACTTTTATCCTCTACAGCATGGTGGTGTCCAAATGGTATGACCCTGATCCCTTATGTGTGAAAAACTTGTAAGCAGGCACCTACAATATATGCATTTATAAATTATAAGCATGTAACATTTTACGAATATATCATGTACACTATAAGATATATAATAAATAGAAATTTTAAAGTATGAGAAAGAAGTTTGGGGAATATTGTCTTTTCACAAAAGAGAAATGAGGCGGGGCATGGTGGCTCACACCTGTATTCCCAGCACTTTGGGAGGCCAAGGTGGGCAGATTGCTTGAACTCAGGAATTCAAGACCAGTCTGGGCAACATGGCAAACCCCCATCTCTACCAAAAATACAAAAATTAGCCGGTCATGGTGGTGCATGCCTGTAGTCCCAGCTACTCAGGACGCTGAGGTGGGAGAATAGCTTGAACCCAGGAAGCAGAGGTTGCAGTGAGCCGAGATCATGCCACTGCACCCTAACCCAGGAGACAGAGTGAGACCTCATCTCAAAAGAAAAAAAAAAAAGAGGGCCAGGTGCTTTGGCTCACGCCTATAATCCCAGCACTTTGGGAGGCTGAGGGAGGAGGATCACTTGAGGTCAGGAGTTTGAGACCAGCCTGGCCGGTATGGCAAAACTCCATCTCTACTAAAAATATAAAAATTAGCCAAGCCTGGTGGCACGTGCCTGAGGTCCCAGCTACTCAGGAGGCTGAGGCAGGAGAATCACTTGAACCTGTGAGGCAGAGGTTGCAGTGAGCCGAGATCGTCCCACTACACTCCAGCCTAGGTGACACAGTGAGACTCTGTCTCAAAAAAAAAAAAAAAAAAAAAAAAAATTAAAAAAAGAGAAATGAGAGAGAAGCAACTTCAAGTCCAGCATGTCTTTTATGTTCCTCGTGATGAGAGAACAGAGAACTGCTGTGTGATACAAGAGATTTTCTTAATCTCTCCTCAACACATAATAAAATAAAATAAATAATATACTATATGTTGAAAGTCCTGTCTTTCTGGATTTGACGTCTCTTCTCCAGCAGCCTTCTATGAGGAAGGCAGCCACCGTGACACCATCTGTGAAATCTAACTCAAAGCATTGACTCTGTCCCCATCAAAGAGGTGCCACCCTATCGTACAGAGCACGTTTTTTCCCCCATAAAACATTGTTAAAGCTTTTTACTGTTGAAAGTATTTCTTCTCATGTAGATCTTTCCTTTGGTGGTTCACAAAAAAAAAAAAAAAAAAAATGTAGTTCCGTGGATAATTTCCTGCGGAAGCAAAATCTGGCCAGTATTCTGAGCTAAATCAGCTCAGAAACATCTGTACCTTCATCCAAATGTTTAACCAACCTCCCAAGGAGCATCTTCGTCTGTTCAGCAATGTTTTCTAGATGGCTCCCAAATCAATTTGCTAACAAAAGACACACACAGACCACCTTGTCCTCTGGGTATTAATTTGGCCATCTCCACCATGCCAGCGAGAATATCATTTCCCCAACTGCTGGTAGATTTTTCATCTTTAGCTCTCATACAGAAACCTCAGGAAGGTTTCTAAGCCTATTTTCTAGTAAAATTTGGTGACATATTGGGTTATCACGTGACTTCAAATGGCACACGTTCTGGATGGTAAATGTCTTCCTAACAGTGACAACTCCACGTCATCAGATGTCAAGCTGCAACAGGCCCAGGGTGAAGATGGTCCTTCGTGACCATGAACACTCAGTAAAATTTCAGACGGGCTTCCTGGCAATTCTGAATTCCTTCAGCTGACTCTCTGTTAGAGCTGGTCAGCACCCACCATTCTGAGTAAAAGCATGAGCTACTGTATGCAGACTCCATATCGTCTTGGATCCAATTTGCAGAATTCTTTTTAAGCCATTGTCCATTTGGAGAGAGACGATTTAAGGCACATACATTCCCTTACCCAGGCACACAGAAACTGCCTGTGGCAAAAACGATGAAGGGGACAGGGTGTCACGGTCCCACCATCCACCCCACGCTGTGGAAACTCCAAATGTACCTCACAGGTGACACTGGACACTTGGACTTTCTGACACTCTGACTGAGGGAAGGTGTCAGAGTCAGGCCAGGGAAGTCCATATATAGTACCATAGTTTAGAGACAAATGCCCGGGAGGCACTGCTACCTAAGTTTTATGACCAGAGAACCCTCCAATGCCCACAGCGTGGGAAACCCGAAGAGCTAAGAGGCAGCAGAACAACAACAACAAAAAAGGCAACACAGAAGCTGTTGAAGGGAAAAGAGGCTTGAATCCCTCCTAATTCTGCCCAGGGCTTAACTTGGTGGGAGAGTATTTGAAAAACATTGCAGACAAAAGGCACTCCCTGAGAAGCAGGTTTAGCTATGACTTTATCCCACATTCAGAAAACTCAGCCTCACATTAGATTAAATTAGCAGCTTGGATCAAGTGTCAGTAACTGAGAAACACTTTGGGGGTAGGAGCTCTTTTTTCCACAGACAGCAGAGATGACCGCCTCTAGGGTCGCACTTACCCCTGACAAATAGCGCTCCAGTTTCTTGTTTAAGAGGAAGTAGATGGCCAGGATGTGGCAGGCGCGGTTGGAGAGCACGGTGTTGATCACGTCGCTGTTCTTGTAACCCAGCTTCTCGGTCATGTGCAGCACGACGCTTGGGCTCAGGTCTTCCAGAGAAATCCTGCCAGGCGCAGAGAGAGAGAGGGCCAGTCACCCCTGCCCTTCACGGAGAGTCCCACACAGACCCCCTGGGCAGAATCAGCTTCATTCATTCACTCATTCATTCATTGACTTGAGTTTTTATTTTAAAAATGTTCATGTATTCAGAAAAGTGGAGGAATAGTACAATCACTTTACGTATACCATCATCTGGATGTACCAGTGATCACTTTGCCATACTTGCATTTTTTTTTTGCTGAAGTATTTTAAATTACAAACATCATGACATTTTACCCCTTAACCCTTCAGTGTGCACCTTCAAAATCCAAAGATGTCCCCTGCAGAACCACAATACCATCAACATACCCAATAAAATTTTAATAATCACTTAATATTAGCTAATACCCGGATTATATTTAAATCTCCCAACTGTCCCCCAGATTTCCTTATGATCACACATTCTTTCCTTAAAATGTATTTGTTGCCATGGACAGAAGCCACCTGGACTCTGGTTTTTGGGGTGGAAAAGGAAGGTATTCAGGAACTAGCCAGATCATGCTTAGAGGAACAGAAAGAGCTCATAAGTTCTTACATGGGGGGTCCAGGGCTCAGCTGCAAAGTGGGGTGCTCTCAGAGGAAGACAGTTAAAGCTACTTCACAGGGGTACTGTGACGATAAACTCCTTGGGACACATTGGCAAAGAAATACCAGGCTTCATTCATCTACCCATTCATTTGTTCACCCTCCCAGTGGGGAAGAAAGAATGTAAATTCACTTAGTCATCCTGATAGTCCTATGAGTAGGTACTATCACTATCCCAACTTTACAGATAACGAAACCAAAGCCCACAGCAATGCAGTACCTTGCCCAGGGTCACAGAGACAGGAAGTGACAGCCCTAGAATTAAGAACCAGCAGCTGGGTTCAATGTCTAGAGGCTCACTGCTTCCCAAATAAACAGATACATCCATCATCATCATCATCATCACCATCATCCAATGGCTACAAAGACTGAGAAACCAGGGGGAGGGCTCTAAGGGAGTGTGTGTGTTGGCAGTGGGGCTGTGTCAAAAGAACATTCTACATCCCTTAAGAGTGATACAAAGAATGATGGCATTCTGAGCAAACTATCGCAAGGACAGAAAACCAAACACCACATGTTCTCACTCATAGGTGGGAATTGAACAATGAGAACACTTGGACACAGGGTGGGGAACATCACACACTGGGTCCTGTCGTGGGATGGGGGAAAGGGGGAGGGACAGCATTAGGCGATATACCCTAATGTAAATGACGAGTTAATGGGTGCAGCACACCAACATGGCACATGTATACATATGTAACAAATCTGCATGTTGTGCACATGTACCCTAGAACTTAAAGTATGAAATAAATAAATACATAAAGTAATACAAAGAGGGCAATCGAAGTAGAAAGCAAGCTTATCTGGCTGGAGAGCTGCTAGCCTCCATGTCAAGGGGTCTGAAGACATTTTGGATGGAACCTCAGAGCTATAATGCCCAGAGAAACCCCACAGGGTAGCCCCATAATTGTAAAGAAGAGGAGACGATGCAAGTTCTCCTGTAGGAAGAGAACTTGCCCAGTTCACACGCCCGGCTGGCAGGGGCACCGAGAGCAGAACGCGGTCTCCTGACCATTGCCTGCCACCGGTCGGTGTAACCTACATCAGTTCTCCCTCTGCTCCATTTGCCTAAGTGCCGTCCCAAAAAACAAACAAATGAAAACACACCCAACAAACAGTGAGATCAGCCTTCCTCATTCCTGTTTGCCACGAAATTACACATTCCAGATAACAGGTGGGAGAGGGATGGGCATGATTACTGGTTTAAAAAGTATATTAATAACATGTTCATTTTTTAAAATAACTACTTGAGGTCTATCAAAACAATGCAGAGTGAACAGTGGTTTGGAAATACCTGGGAACCCCAAGAGCAGGGCACCCCCAGAGGGCATGGGGTATTCTGAAGAAAGGTCAGTAGTGTGGAAAGGAGGGGTATGCACAGGGGCAGACACCCCATCTCTGCCTTTTATGTCCAGTATCTTCAAAAACGAGCTCTGCCATAATGTAAATGGTCAACTGACTCTGGACTGAGAGGAATAGTTTGAACGTTTTCCAATAAACAATGCATAAACCTGGTGCTCTCCAGTATCACTTATCGAATCTGTATATGGCTGCATGTTTGGATGACACAGAGAATGGTACAACGTTCCAGAATACTAGGTATTATCTGAATCGCGCAAATTTACATGCAATCTGTTTTGATACCATGGATCTAATTTGGTCTAATTCTGTCTTGTATTGCCTGTAACCTCCTCCCCTCCCACCAGTTCCAAAGCTAACTGGAGGGGTGGAGAGACTGTCCAGGTCCCTGCAGGGAGACAGAAAGAGGCAGCAAGGTTGGCTCTGTACAAATGTCCGAAACCCAGCACTTTAGGAGACCGAGGCATGGAGATTGCTTGGGACCAGGAGTTTAAGACCAGCCTGGGCAACACAGCAAAACCCCCATCTCTACCACAAAAAGAGAAACACTTAGCTGGGGATGGCAGCACATGCCTGCAGTCCCTCTACTATAGAAGCTAAGGTGGGAGGATTGCTCGAGCCCAGGAGTTCTAGGTCACAGTGAGCTGTGACTGCGCCACTGCACTCCAGCCTGGGCTACGAAGGAAGACCTGTCTCAAACAAAAAAAAGAAAAAAAAGGTCTGCACCTGAATCAGCAGGGGAGCCGGGCACCTAGCAAACATCTGTTGACTGACTGGCACAAACATTTATTCATAAAAGATTCACTTTCAAAGACATTTCCCTCTTTGCTTTTAGAGATCAACTTGGCAGCTGAAATGACTTCACAGGAGAAGGCTTTACAGAAGAGTGATGTAAAATGTGAGACCTTTATTTTCCTTACTTTCTCAAAAGGAAACTATTGACAACACTGAAAATACATCTGGGGCTAGGTATGTTGGGAAACTACAAAATATACTTTATAAAGAAAATATCCCTTTCTCTGCTTGTATGTTCTCATTCCCTTTATCTACAGGCCAGTAAAACCAGAAAAATAAATATAAAAAACACATTTTTTTGTCTTAAAGATAAAGGTTTTTCAAAATAAACACTGTAAACAACATGTACCTCCCCCAACAGCTTAGAATTCTGGTTCCGGGCCAGACACGGTGGTGGCTCATGCCTGTAATCCCAGGACTTTGGGACGCTGTAGCAGGTGAATCACTTGAGGCCGGGAGTTTATGAACAGCCTGGGCAACATGGTGAAACCCTGTCTCTACTAAAAATACAAAAATCAGCCAAGTATGGTGGTGGATGTCTGTAATCCCGGCTACTCAGGAGGCTGAGGTGGGAGACTCGCTTGATCCCAGGAGGCAGAGGTTGCAGTGAGCCGAGATTGTGCCACTGCACTCCAACCTGGGCGACAGATCGAGACTCTGTCTTAAAAAAGAAAAATAAAGAAGAATAATTCTGGTTCCACTACTTAAAAACCAAACACTGATTTGCCTCTAGCATGAAATGAGCAATGGGCCTCGCATAAACAGAAGACACGGAGTGCTGTTCTCCTTAGCACGCGAGATCTCAGCCCGTTTTACCGTCCACTGAACCAGCTTCATGTACGGCCATTATGCTGCTGACCAAGTCCAAATGCAAAAACCATTACACTAATCTGGCAACAACAGGATAGGAGTTTGCATTTACGTTTTAATCTATCAAAGTCTGTCTGCAAACTGTGGGAAAGCCACAAACATGAGATGTCGCCTCCTAATTCTTTGTGAATGAAGATGCAGCCAACAAGGAGGGGAAATACCGTCTTTCTCACACCAGCTCCACTTTCTCCAACAGCTGCCGCATTGAGTGGATTGATTATGCTCATTTAGGCGGTGATTACATGAGCTTAATGACTCATGTGGCCACCACCAAGGCCCCCTCCTTTAACAGAAAGCGTACCTGCGTGCTGCTCTCCATCATGAGTATAGATAATGAGGCAAGGTCCTTTCAGCTTTGCTCCCTGCCTCGCTTTAGAGTAGTATTTCTGGTGTCTGTTTCAGATCCTGGCCCACATCGAGCTGTTATTGGAAAACGGCAATCTATTTCCAGGTTCCCTTGGTAACCTAAGTCACCTAGACTTTGTTTAAATTACCTCCCATGAGCCAAATGCTAGAATTCTAGATGGCAACAGAGTGAAACCACCTCCTCTCTGGGCACGGTGAGTGTAAATTTGGCACTGAAGTGTGGATGCAGACTCCCACGCCCCTTTAAAGTTTTTCTAGAGCTTCCATCCCAAGCAGAGCCCTGCCTGGCCATCTTCTTTGAAGGACTCAGCACTTCAGCTTTCATAAGTCTTGGCGGGTGTTTCTAGACCTTTCTAGGCATTGAAACTATGACTACACAGGACACCCTTTTCTCTGCCCTTTCAGTCTCCCATCTGCCCCTCTGGGTCAGTGGTTCTCCTGCCTTCATCCAAGCCTGGTCAAATGTACAAGACACCCTAGCTCTAAACGAAGAAGGAAGGTGGGTCCCGGTCTTAGAAGGTACTGAGCCCATGTGGTCTCCTTATTTGCATGAAAACAGCCAAATTAAGGGCCTTCATTCCCTTGCTCAGGTTAGTTAGAAACAGGACAAAGGAGTAGAAAAAAATATACAAGGAAATGTTTTTGGCCGGGCGCAGTGGCTCAAACCTATAATCCCAGCACCTTGAGAGGCGGGAGGATCGCTTGAGCCCAGGAGTTTGAGACCAGCCTGGACAACATGGCAAAACCCTTTCTCTGCAGAAAAATAGAAAAAATTGCCTGACATGGTGACTCACGCCTATGGTCGCAGCTACTCAGGAGGCTGAGGTGGGAGAATCACTTGAGCTCGGGAGGTGGAGGCTATAGCGAGCTATGATCATGCCACTACACTCCAGCCTGGGTGACAGAGTGAGGCTCTGTCTCAAAAAAATAAAAAGAAAAAAGAGAAATGTTTTTGAATCTGTAGTTAGCGCACCAACATAGAGAAGCATGGGCTGCCACAGGGAACCTGTCAGTGCTCCTATGCTGTGGGTTCCTGTCTGCAAACTTTGCTTAAAGAACCCTCCTCATGGAAACTGATAAAATGGAGCCTTCACGGAAAGTCCACAGGGACACCTGGCCTAAAACGAGTGACTCCTATGCCTTTCCTTCCTGCCTCCCACATTTTAAAGCAGGGGTCTTAGGGCTGAAATAAACATCAAGAACAAGACAGAAGAAGGCATCTAAGGGTGGTTTGGAAAGGGAGGGGTGATCCCATGTGTTTCTGTCTGATGTTGGCAGGTGGGCTCGTGAGCTGATCACACACACGCAAACACATTCACACAAAGACTGGCTGGGCACGTTGGCTCACACATGAAATTCCAGCACTTTGGGAGACCGAGGCAGGCGGGTGACCTGAGGTCAGGAGCTCAAGACCAGCCTGGGCAACATGGTAAAACCCCATCTCTACTAAAAATACAAAATTAGCCTGGTGTGGTGGCACGTGCCTGTAATCCCAGCTTCTCAGGAGACTGGGGATGAGAATCACTTGAACCCAGGAGGCAGAGGTTGCAGTGAGCTGAGATTACACCACTGCACTCCAGCCTGGGTGACAGAGCCAGACTATGTATCAAAAAACAAAACAAAGACCTACACACACACACAAATTTACACACAGAAACAGACACACAACACATACACACAGACACAACAGCCATGCACACGGAGACCCAAGCAGACACAGACATTGTCTCTCTCTCTCTCACACACACACACACTCAAGCCATAGCTAGTCTCAAAGGTCCCTTTGTGTGAACTTGAAAGAGGCACCCCCTGGGAAGACGCAGACCCTCAAAGCCTGGATGTCAGCCTCCATTCACCCCTCCTCCAGGTGACCCTGCAGGGTACAGGGCACAACAGCACACGGTGGTCCTGTCTACGCTTCCTCTTGTGGATGTGTGGGTGTGGGTGTTCGTGGGAAGGGGAGATAGCCAAGAGAGAACATGGCTTTTCCTTCAATCACAGACAGCTTTCTGTCCGGAACTGCTCGGGGCTCATAGGACAGGCCCCATCTCTCCCGAGGAGTCCCTCTGGGTACACAAAATTACCTGTTGGGATAGGTGATATTACAGGGCACTTTGCCCGTGTAATTCTCATTGAGCCAGCGATTCGCCAGTGCCTGCTGAATATTTGGCCTCTTCACAGGATCCGGTTCCAGGAGAGAGCGCAGGAAACTGATGGCACCTGGGAGACATTCGGGAAAGAACGTGCGCATGTTACAGGCTGAACGCAGACACCAGTGAAAGCTACCATCACAGGGGACTCGCCACCTCGCCTGCCCATCCCGAGCCACTGCTGGGGTGATCTCTGGGTCTCTGGCCAGGGTTCTGATTCAAGGATTCATAGAGCTTGGTTTCAGCCCCACCTCCCTTCAGACAGGAGGGGTGTGAAAAATCCCGTTTCTCCCTCTCTCTCTCTCCTTAAAAAATACACACCACATATCCAAAGAATTTAAGTTCTCTGTCCAAGGGGAGCAACTGGTGCACGATAAAGCAAGAACCAGTTTGGGTCTCCCCATCCCCTGTGTTTCCCAAGACAACCTGTGGCCTTTTCTTGTTGCTTATAGGTGAGCCAAAGGGATGTTCTATTGACAGGCTTGTAGGAACGAAAGAAAATAAACAGAAAATGCCTGCTCGCAAGGAAGGTTTTTGGGTACTCAGGGAGAAGCCAGCAGTGTACAGGCATCCTAAGTTAGACCTCCCAACTGGGGACCACAGGACACTCAGAGTCTCAAGAGGCCAGAGAGGTCCTGCTTTCTGATCCTTTCTTTTAAAGCCATTCTGTGTGGCCGCCCACCTCTTCTCCAAACTCGATGATGCCTCGCCCAGGCTGCACAGAGCCCACGCCCACCCAGCGCAGTCAATCAGGCTGTCAAGACACCAGAGCGCCACGCGTTTTTGTTAAAGTGTTAGGAAACCTCTGCATTAGTGACCCAGACTTTAAAATCCTAGTTTGTGTAAAAAGTTCTAGTGAAAACCACACTGTGAACCCATGTCCGCCTGATGGGTGCCTCCTTTTGCACTGTCTCTTAGGGGACTCTTAGGGACTGCTTAGATGGACAGGATGCTAATATCTTTTGTCTTTCTTTTTCAAGCCACCTGAAGTTCACTGTATCACATTAGTCATGCTGAGCACAGTGTGTAAGGAAAAGATACGAGAAACTGTTGAAAACCTATAAAACCCCTACAACCCCTTTTCCTTCCATCCCAGGGAAAAATAATGTTTTGTTGTTGTTGTTGTTGTTGTGTTTTTGAGACGGAGTCTCGCTCTCTCACCCAGGCTGCCTCCCGGGTTCAAGCAATTCTCTGCGTCAGCCTCCTGAGTAGCTGGGATTACAGGCACCTGCCACCTAATTTTTGTATTTTTAGGAGAGACGGGGTTTCACCATCTTGGCCAGGCTGGCCTTGAACTCCTGACCTCGTGATCCACCCGCCTTGGCCTCCCAAAGTGCTAGGATTATAGGCGTGAGCCACTGCGCCTGGCCAAAAATAATGTTTTAAATGCCCTGGGTTTCCTTTCATTTCACAAATATTTACAGAGCACTTGTTGTCCATTCAAGCACTAGAGATAAGCTAATTCGTCTCTAAGCAGAATATTTGCATACTTTAAGATAATAACAATGGAGACAACTGTATGAGAGGTAAAAATGCATTTATAATGCACATGAAGCCTTTTATTTTGTATTTATTTTATTCATTATTTTTTATATTTTGGAGACAGTGTCACACTGTCGCCCAGGCTGGAGTGCAGAGGTGCGATCATGGCTCGCTGCAGCCTTGACCTCTCTGGCTCAGGTGACCTTCCCACCTCAGCCTTCCAAGTAGGTGAGACTACAGGCATGCACCATCACGCCCAGATAATTTTTTAATTTTTTTGGTAGAGATGGGGTTTTGCCAAGTTGCCCAGGCTGGTCTCAAATCCCTGAGCTCAAGCGATCCTCCTGCCTCAGCCTCCCAAAGTGTTGGGATTAAGTGTGTGAGCCACCACACTCAGCCCATGAAGGCTCTTCTAAGGCTACCAAATTGTAGGAGAATATACAGCATACCCACATATAGGCAAAGAATGTCAGGGATGACTTCAAAATGCAGACGGTTTGTCTTGCTTGACTTGTGGGACTGTGATATTTTCTTATGCTCTAGCCCTTATTTTACAAAGTATTGCTATAATGTTCTTGCAATATAAATAATTCTTTTATGTAGCTTTGTACTTGATTTCCAACATACCAAATAATAAACCCCAGAAAATAATAATGTGCTTGCTCCCCCAATTTTTCCATTCTTCTCTTCAAAGTTATTTTCTCAGTGTTCTAAGGTAATCTTCTTTGCAAGGAGAAGTCATAAAACGTCTTACTTTCTCAAAAGTTTTAAGTTGTCATTTTAACATTGTTCTTGAGGAAATGCTGAGCCTTTTTTCAACCCATTTTCTGCAGGGTAAAAATTAGGCCATCAAAAAAGGGGCCAGTTGTGATGCGAGAATCAACTCAAGAGAAATAATCTTTGCTAGGTCATGCAGCCAGGTCAACCTTCATGGTCAACCCACCACCAGGGTGGGTTCCCATCCTGTTGAAGAGGTTACCAGGTCATCTCCCTTTCAATAGTGGGTAGTCTCTACTGGATATCTACCCAAAGGAAAATAGGTCATTACATGAAAAAGACACTTGCACACATGTTTATAGCAGCACAATTCACAACTGCAAAAATATGGAACCAGCCCAAATGCCCATCAACTAACAAGTGGATAAAGAAAATGTGACATATGGTCAGGCACGGTGGCTCACGCCTGTAATCCCAACACTTTGGGAGGCCAAGGCAGGTGGATCACCAGGTCAGGAGATCGAGACCATCCTGGGTAACACGGTGAAACCCCGTCTCTACTAAAAATACAGAAAATTAGCCGGGCATGGTGGCGGGCGCCCGTAGTCCCAGCTGCTGCGGAGGCTGAGGCAGGAGAACGGCATGAACCCGGGAGGCGGATTGCAGTGGGCCGAGATCACGCCACTGCACTCCAGCCTAGGCGACACAGTGAGACTCTATCTCAAAAAAAAAGAAAAAAGTAAAGAAAATGTGACTGTATATATGATATGTATGTGTCATATACATATTATGTCATATGTGTCATATATATATATACACACACACACACACACACCAAGGAATACTACTCAGTCATAAAAAGGAACAAAGTAATGGCATTGCAGCAACCTGGATGGAGTTGAGATTTTTATTCTAAGTGAAGTAACCCAGGAATGGAAAACCAAACATTGTATGTTCTCACTTATAAGTGGGAACTAAGCTATGAAGGTGCAAAGGCATAAGAATGACACAATGGACTTAGGGGACTTGGAGGGAAGGGTAGGAGGGGGCGAGAGATAATAGACTACACATTGGGTACAGTGTACACTGCTCAGGTGATGGATGTACCAAAATCTCAGAAACCACCACTAAGGAATTTATCCATGTAACCAAAAACCACCTGTTCCCCAAAAACATACTGAAATTTTGAAAAAAGGAAATATTGCCAGGAGCGGAGGCTCACGACTATAATCCCAGCACTTTGGGAGGCCGAGGTGAGTCGATCACCTGAGGTCAGGAGTTCAAGACCAGCCTGACCAACATGGAGAAACCCCACCTCTACTAAAAATACAAAAATTAGCCGGGCACGGTGGTGCACACCCGTAATCCCAGCTACTTGGGAGGCTGAGGTGGTAGAACTGCTTGAACCCAGGGGGCAGAGGTTGCAGTGAGCTGAGATCATGTCACTGTACTCCAGCCTGGGCAGCACAGAAAGACTTCATCTCAAAATAAAAAAAAAACAAAAAACAAAAAACAGTGGAGTGGGTAGAAATGCATGCGTGGAGACCATGAGGTACATTTACCACTGTAAGTGTTATCGCTGGATACCCAGCTAAAACTCTAAAAAAAAAAAAAAAAAAAAATTGTTTTTAACCTTTAGGTTAGGGTGTGCATGTGCAGGTTTGTTATATAGGCAAACTCGTGTCATGGGAGTTTGTTGTACAGGTTATTTCATCACCCAGGTACTAATCCTAGTTCCCAATAGTTATTTTTTCTGTTCCTCTCTCTCCTTCCACCCTCCACCCTCAAGTAGACCCCACTGTCTATTGTTCCCCTCTTGGTGTCCATGGTGTCCTCTTGGTTATACTTAGCTCCCACTTATAAGTGAGAGCATGCAGTATTTGGTTTTCTGTTCCTGTGTTAGTTTGCTAAGGATAATGGCCTCCAGCTTCATCCATGTTCTTTAATAACCCAAAAATCAAACAGATCTCTGCTTTGCAGAATCTCTATTCGCTTCCCTTAACATCCCTGCATTGCAAGAGTCACTTAGATCTTAACTGGGGGCATCTATTGGTCAGATAAAGAAGATGAGGGCTTAATGAATCAGAGCGAGTGGGCTGTTGAGTTAATGTTTTCTGAGACATTGCTGTTGCTTACCCTCAAAGGACTTGGGCAACAACCCAGGGTTGCCTCAAAGGACTTGGGCAACAGTCCAGGCTTTTTCAAAGTATGATGAACCAGAAGTGCTAAGGACAAACTGGATGTGCATTTTTGTTCTATTTTCATAACTGAGCACTCTGCATCCTCAAAAACTGCTGATGAGCGCAAGTAATTTTAGTTCAAATCTCCACTGACGAATTTTCTTCCTTTGGACGTCACAGACATTGCGTTACTATCCAAAAAGGACTTTGAGAATATCCTTAGAGCTCTTCGAAGTTTGTTTTAAGGTCCTGAAAACCCCTATGCCTTATGAGCAAAAGAGATTAAAATATTCCTCACCATCCTGGAAAGCCATGCCAGGCATGGCCACAGGCCACATGCCGCCCTCTACCTCTCTGAGATAACACTGAGGTTCTCCACTCAAGCCTGGCAAAATAGTACCACCCTGCTCAACGTAACACGCAGCACACCTTCCTCCATCGCAAACCCCACTTTCTTTCACGAGTCATCAGCTTTCCAAAGTCTGGACTGGCTTGTGTGAGCACCTGAACACGGTACCAAGTGAAACGGCTGCAGGTGACAGGCAAAGTCATCAGACTTTTCACATTAGTGTAGCCGGATAGATGCAAATAGAGACTCCTCCGCGCTCAAAGCTCCCTCCTCATCACTTCCCAAGCTAAAGAACTGTTTGATCATCTGATCATCGTGCCTTCTTGGACATCATCATTAGCACTGGCTCAACCCTCATGAAAGCTAACACTTCTCCTCCAGCTTGACTTTGGAGAATTCACGGCACAAAACCATCATCACCTGAACTGACTGCTTGGAATGTATTATAAATGCCAGCGTTGTGGTGTAGTGATGAAAAGGGAAGCAGTCTGA